TACTGACTGAACTCTTAACATTGATCAAAAAGTTGCTGAATTTTATTTTTAAAAAATCAAGATTTCCACACATGTACTCTTAGACATCAATCAAAGACGTCCAGTGTTTTTGTCATGAATCTTTAAAGTTTGTTTTGGCGATTTTTTTTGACTGTTTTGTGTCTTTAGGGCACAACAAATCAGCATCATACCTCTGTTTAGGTCTCTGTGATTCATAGATAATATGTATGCAGCCTCCTCATCACATAACGTCCTCTCATAAAGCTGTTCACTGCTTGTTGAGGCGACACAAACACATGCAGTCACGTGGTGCATGTATATATATATATATATATATGTATATATATATATATATGTAATGCACAACAGCTGCAGGCCTGTGGATGTAACTGAGCACAGAAATAAGAATTAAACGTGCAGCAGTTCTGCAGAGCTGCTGCTTCCACCAACCGCCTAAACTCTGTGTTCAGAGAGTTGTGTGGATTTTTCAGGAAGTACCTGAAATAAATGCAATCTACAAAAGTTTAAAAGGGGGAAAAAAATCACTCCTGCATGACTGACTAATAAAGTTTCTGGCCTTTTAAAGCTTTAGCTGAAGGAGGGAGGCTCGTGTGTTTTCTGGAAGCCCACGACGTCGTTTCTCTTCAGACCTCTGAGAGAAATCTTGTCCGATTTGCACCTTCTGTCCTCTAACGTCTCCTCCGTCTGTCTCTGCAGGCAAAGTGAAGGCTCTGTACGACGCCCAGGCCCCGGTGTGTCCGGTGTGCCAGGCCATGCTGCGACCAGGAGAGCTGCAGGAGCACATGGAGCAGGAGCTCACCAAGCTGGCCCAGCTGCACATCAGGTAGCAAGTTTTCACCACAAAACATCTGATTTCCTTCAAGTTTTCGCTCCGTCTCTTCGCCCATTTGTCATTTTTGCAGACTTCCTCTTCCGCTCAGCTCCCAGGTGATAATTAATGTCGACAGATTTTGCGTCCGGAGGCTTCGTCTGTCCTCAGGCGGCGTCTTCCATCACCTGTGCACGGTGTTTACAAGCCGCCTCATTGTTCCCTACATATTTCATATCGCAGCCCGCGGCCTCGAGGCGACAACTCGTACAGCGGGGCGGGATAATGTCCTGCTAATGGCGAAACACGAACACGGAGCGCACACACACACACAGATTACCTGCTGCTTAGACCCCAAGAATGATTCCTCCAATAAAGACATTACGCTCCAAATCTGCTTAAGAGCCGCTCCGTGGACAGTAATGGTTTCAAATTGAAGTCGGCCCGCGGGGACGTCGTGCATGTGTGAGTCTGCAGCGTCCGGGTGACAGACGTGGAGCGAGAGGCGGCACAACGAGGTTACACGGAGACTCGGATACGAAGCCAGACGAGACAAAAGCAGAAAGTTGTTCATGAGGCGTCATTTAAAAGACGACATCGGTTGTGTTTGATTGGAAAACCCCACAGCGAGGAGTCTGTGGTTCTGAAAACGTTCTGAGAAACTTCCGCAAAGTTCAAGTAATGTTTTTTATTTTACTTTCCTGAACGTTCCTCTTAAAGGCAGCGTTCTGAAAACATTTTCTGAATGTTATATTTGTAAAAAACAAACGTTCAGAGGAATGGAGAACGTTTTCCAGATGTTGCATTGACGACATCCTTCGTTTGTCCTGTTTTAGTTCGCTGACTGTTCCTCTTAAAACGTTTTATGAATGTTGCATTGAGAACATCCTTCCTCTGTTATCGTTGTGGAAATGTTTTATAGCAGAACGTTCTATAATTTAGTACAAAGGTAAAACGTTCTGTCTGAACACATCCCATCATAAGGATGTTAAAGGATAAAATGTTCTCTTCGTCATGTGAGGTCTCCATAACGTCTTTCGAATGTTTCATTGAGAATGTCCTTCTTTTGTCATCGTTGTGGGAACGTTTTAGAGCAGAACTTTCTCAACAACAACATCCCCAAAACATCCTCAGAATATTACAGGCTAAACGTTCTACCTTTGTTAATATATTGTGGTACAAGAACGTTTTATCAAGACCGGTCTGTCATTTGAGGCCTCGATAACATCTTGAAAATGTTTTCCGAATGTTGCATTGAGAACATTCTGGCCGTTCTGTGGATGTTTTAGGGATGTTGTTGAGGGAACACAACAACGTTACCACAATGTTCTCCTGAGGAAGAATGTTGTCAGTGTGACATTGAGCTTTGAGGATTTTAGGGAGCAACAGTTTATTTACGTCATCGTTTTTAGAACATCTTTAGTCTTCTGACCTTTGAGAAGAACATTGTGGGAACTGAAACAAAACTTCCTGCTGAAAACATTAGTAGAACTTTCTCAGAACATTGGGAAACGTTGCAGTGTGGTTTTCTATTAACCTCCTGTGTTCTGTCACCTGTTCTCTCTTCAGTGGTTCTGCGCTGCAGCACGACCTCCTCATACGGACTCCGAAGGTAAACACGGTTCCTAACTCTTCCTCACGTTCAGTCAAACCGTCGCCGTCGTCCTGCCTTTGACTTGTTTTCTTTTCTCCAGTCTTTGTCGCTTTCTCTGCATATCAAGCGTGAAGGAGGTTCTCCGTCTTTGCCTCCTCGACCGGCTGAGGAGGCCCACTCCGACCGGTACCAGGTAGGAGACGGAACCAAACCAGCGTCAGATTATCGAGGGTTTTATAGATTTACAGAGCAGCTAGATTGTACATGTGTGCGTATTTCTGCTGGTGCTCAGATTTCTCTTAAAGATGAGCAGCAAAGATACAAACAGTGCATTTGTTTAACTGTAAAGTTGGATTGTAATTAAGATATTACAGAATTAAAACAAATTAACTCAACCACAACACGTTCAGGTTTGACAGTGAGCAGAAACTACAGTAGTTGTGCAACGAATTCCTTCGTCTCAAGTTGTAAAATCAATAAAAATACCAGAAAACAGCCAGAATATTCCAGAATGTTGCTCCATCACCTGCTGCCAACACCAGGATTTGTACTCTGGATCATGAAAGTGAACTAAAACTAGATGATATGGAGGCAACAGCGTCGTGCAGCATCACCGGTTTACAGTGTAAAAGCAGGAAACTGCATTAGTTGAACTTGAAGGTTGTTCTATAATTAAGATTTTGCAGAATTAAAACAGAATAACTCAAATGCAACTCACATTTTTTAAAAATTAGAGGATTTTTCAGGCTCATACAGCTGATAAAAACCCAAATGACTCAGACATTTGCTCGCTAATTTTGTAGGTGGTCGTGCTGCTTCTGTTCCTTTAGTGAATTAAAACAGTTAACAGTAGTTAGAAACGTCTTGCAAGCTTGTAACGGTGCATCTGGAAGGTTCTATTATAATTAAGACACATGCATTTAAAAAAAAACAACAACTTATATATCTCTGCAATATTTAAAACTAAATATTATGCACATGATTCGTCAGGTTCCTGCTGCAGATAAAATCCTAAAGAATCACCGATATTTGTGCAATTTGTACACAGGAAGCTGCTATTGGCTAAACTGGAAGGCTGTGTTCTAATAAGGCATTACAATAACACAAAAAATCATAATTCAGCTGCAATACATTATATTTAAAACTAGCTTGTTAGTCAGGTTCATACTGCAGATAAGATCCAATTTTATTTGTGCATTCTGTACGTAAATTTAGCAAGAAGTCGCTTTTGATTGGAGTGCTGGTTCTGCTCATTTAATGCGTTAAATAGTGCATTTGTTTACCTCAAAGGTTGTATTACAATGAGGACATGTTTTAAAAAAAGCACGACTGCAACACATAATGTTTAAATCTGGATACATGCATGCAGATAAAATCCAAAAACACTCACTGACATTTGTGCATATTTAGAATTTTGCAGACTGTTGATGCCAAATTATGTGCGTTTAGTGCATTGAGACAGTCGGTTGTTAATCAGATACGCTTGTAACGGCGCATCTTCAATTATTGGAAGGTTGTATTATAATTAGGACGTTGCAGGAAAAAAGACAACACAACTCTCTGCAACACATAGTTTTTAGAACGAGACAATTTGTCAGGTTCATACTGCAGCTCAAATCCAAATTGTCTCACTTTTATTGGCGCATATTTGGACGTAAAGTTTGCACGAAGTCGCACCGAATGTGAGCGCTGGTTCTGCTCATTTAGTTCGTTAAAACAAGTTTGCATCGTCATAAACTTGTTTGTTCCCCGTGTGGTGCCGGTGACTCACCAGAATCACAGCCTGGAGTTGATCAGAACCTCAGAACCTCGCTTCAGACCAACAGGTTGAGCAGAAGTCAAGACCGTGGAACTGGTGCAGTAAAAAAGACATCACAAAAATCCCCGTTCAGACCTGCACTCCTTTCTGTACATCTGAAAGTGTCGACTCATGTTTCTGCAAAGATTTGTTACGTATAACACGTCTGAAAAGGCCCAAACTGTACATTAAACCTCGAGTAAGTAAAACAGCGTCATGCACAAACATTCAGAAGATGCTGTGACGTAAACAGAGAAGCAGAACGACGCTGTTAGAAAAATAAGGTGCAAAATACAACAAGAAGTGTGAGGGGTTGAGCTTTAAGTTGCTCTACAGCCAGATTTTGAAGCTGCAAGTGAAGAGTTCAGATAACTCCATGTTCACAAACCTCCAGGAAACCCACCATCCATCGTCTACCTGCAACAATATCAATCAAACTTAAATTATCTCTGTTTTTATGTCATTTCTACTCAGTCACATCCACTCAGCTTCAGTTTGATTGATATTATCTCAAGCAAACAAGAAAAAAATGTCTGTTTTTGTCACCACAAACACTCCAGAGTGTTTCTGCTGCTGCTCAGTTCTTCTAGCAGGAATCCAGATTAAACAAAGTTTGATGTTTGTGTTTGTTGCAGACGTTCCTCCGTGTGCGGGCCAACAGACACACCAGACTGAACGGTGGGTTGATGCATGCAGCGCCGACTACATGTTGTGTTTCATTGCTGCTGAGTCAGTTTGTCGTTTTTTTTTTTGTCTCAGCGCTGCATTAAAGTGGCTTTAAGAGCTTCTTTTTTTTTTTTTTTAAACCATCCTTTTGTTCATGCGCTCAGTCCTGTGTTTGGTCCGAACCCTCCCTCAGCACCAGCGTTCCCACACCACCCACCACCACCTCGCCGGCCTAGCGCCCACACGAGCAGAGGAGCTATTAACCTCTCAACTCTGACCTTTGATATGTTAACAGTCGATGACCTCTGCTGGTGCAGGTGCTACGTCAAATCCGCCCCATTACGCCCCCACAGCGCAGGAGCCCACCTAGACTGCACACAAGCTGGTAAGAAACACCCAGAAGCACTGTTTTGTTCCTTCTGTTCCTCGTGTTTAGATCAAAATCCTGGATGTGAACTGATGTTTGCTGCTTTAATGCAGGTTTAACACAGGATGGGGTCACTTTGATGAAACCCAGCGCAGACACGTTGCTGATTTTACTTTTTTTTTCCATTACAAAAACTTGATTTTCATCCAGGAACCATCACTCAATTTATCAGTTCTAAAGTTAATCAACAATATTTTACTGTAAAATGAATTATTTCAGCTGTTAAGTCACAAAACTGAAAAAATAAGCAGAAAAAACAGGTTTTTATTGATGTATCCTGTGCAAAACATTCATTTAACATCAGTTATCACATATAATTTAGATTATTATTAGATTAATATTTCATGTTTGCCACTTTTTCTAAAGTGTTCATAAGTTATAACTACTAGTTTAACATTAAATGAAGTATGAAACAGCAGCATGATGCTTTATGACTCACCTCTAAGACACTTTGGGATGATAAACTGTTAAAAAAAGATATTTATTGACATGACATTTGTTTTTTCTTTCCAGACGTGTAGCTGTAAATGTCAGTAGATTATTATTAAAAAGTTGTTTTATTAATCTCTGTCGGACTGATCTAAACCTGGAGAAAGATGAAATACCAGTTAATGGATTTAGTTTTACAGCTTGTCAACCAAAAGATTCAAAACAGTCGTCTGCACACGGACTAACTTGTAAAAATAGATTTATTTGTGACGTTTAGACTTTAATCAGGCAACAGTTTGGCACAAAAGGATCTGAAATAGTTCATAAATCACAGTTTTTAAAGAGTTTTTTAAAAGTTCTTTTATAGTGTAACTTGATTTGAATGTATTTTGGATCAACTAACGCAAAAATGAGCATTTAGTTGATGCAACATTATTATATCAACCCAGTTAAATAGTATTTGCTGCTTAAATAGTTTAAATTTGAATATTTGTTTTGCAACTCATCAGTGTTGGAAATAAGTTCCTTTAATTACTCTTTAGAGTGAACCTCAACAGATTAACAAAATGTGTTTTTGTGAATAGTTCAATACCGTTTATTAATCCCAAAGAAAAAGAAAATTCTTGTGCCAGATGTTGCTGAATAAAAACTGACATAACAGGAGAATAAATGCATCAGCTGATAGTAAAGCAATAAGACACAGATGCATTAAGAAAAATACAAATATATTAAAATACGACTGGAATAGAAAAGCATGAAGTAATGCTGTCAGTGACTCTGAAGTAGTGAAGTCATATCGTACATGCTGTTAATGTATTAACACTGAAGGATCGTTCTTCTGCCAGATGTTGCTCCGAACACAAAATTAGATGACGTGAGAAATGCAGTATGTATAATAGTAAAAATAAAAATAAAGCTGTAAAAGAATAGAAACCGCCAACGACAGTGAAGCAGCAACGTATAAATATTTTACACATGATGATGAAATACTGCACATTGCACTGGCATGTTGTACACAAACGTGGAAAAACTGTTTATAACATTAAAATATTGCACAGAAAAATAAAATAGAACACAAAAAAGTGAAACAATTTTGCACAAAGTAATAAAAAGAAGTAAGATTGCAACTTATATTGATCTTATTGCTGAGATATAAGCTTCTGTTGTTTCAGCTGTGACTCCTGCAGGTATATAGTTTACATTATAATGAAATATTGCACATGAAAAACATCAGTAGATTATGTTTAATCCATTAATAAAATGAGTAACTGTTCATAAACGAACCCTTTAAGTTTTAAAACTGCAGCATTTCCACCGTATCTGTCTGATGAGCGTGTTCACCAGTAAAAAGTTCTCCTTGTGACAGTTCAAAGCGACGTGACAGAGTTCTGCGGACGCTCACAGCGTCCTGACTTCCTGTCTCCGTTATTATCTCCTCCGAGATGCCGCGGCTCCTCAAACTGCCAGCGCTGTCGAGCTCTGTTAGCCTTTATTGGGCCTTATAGCCGGCCGGCATAATGAGCTTCTAAATACACGTCAGGGAGGAGAAAGCAGCGAGTCGGGGGCGCAGGAGGAGGTGCTGCTGATTAATCAACCTCCCTCCTCCGTTTGATGAGCTCTCCCTCATCTCTGGCCGTCTCTTTAACCCTCATTATGTCGCCGGCTCTGGGGTCAGCAGCTCTCCTCCTCCTCCTCCTCCTCCTCCTCCTCCTCGGAGGCCCTAAAACTTAATGTCCCCTCATGCGATCTGCAGCGAGTCGGGTCGCAGTGTGTGTTCTGCCGTGTTGACTTTTATATGTCCAGAGAGGGGAGGCGCTGACGTGACGGGATGAGTTCAGCGTCTCACAGCCGGAGCTGCAAACAGCTGCACCGACACGAACACATCTGTCCTGAAAGAGTCAGAGAGCTTTTTATTGCCAAGTCTGCTCACACACACACACACACACACACACACACACTCACACACATATACGAGGTGGTGAATGAGACCGATACACAACAACAACAAGACAGGCAGTAAATATAGAAATCTAAATCTAAGGGATTCTAAATTAAACACATCCATCCATCCATTATCTGTTGCAACAGGAGTCTTCAGTGGGAGCTTGTTTCCGTGGACGCTGTTCGGTTTGTGAGCTGACCTCCGACTGGAGAAGAAGTCGGCTTGCATTGTCAGACTTTAGAGTTCGTCTTCATTTATAATCTGGATGTTATTTAACACAATAACAAGTGTTAAAGGCAAATAAGAAAATCTATCTATTCTCTGCTGCCTTTTAGTCAAATCTTGGTCCTCGTTTTTATAAAAATCGAAACAATTCTAAGCACTGAATTCAGTCTGTACGCCTTCAGATTCATGTTTCGTCTCAGGAGCAGCTTCACAGGTTGACTTGGTGCTGATTTAATTTATTTATTAGGCCGTAAATTCTCAATATGACTAAGAAAATATAAAAGCAAAGCAAGTCCAGCTGACTGTTTCATCTAACAGTGTCTTAAGTTTATATTAAGTCAAGTTCAGTTAATTTAACGCAGCAGGTTTCACGCTTTCACGTTGAATTTTAGCAAATTAATCAACCACAATGCAGCTGACACACATTCCTACGGCAGCAGAGGAACTTTTTCTAAGCTGACAGACGAAACAAATCAGTTCCTCGACGTCAGAGAGAGAAAAACCTGTCACAGATCAAATAAACCTTCTTTAAAGTTACAGGACAAACTGTCACAAAATATTCAGTTCTTCATTAATGCCAACAGACTGTGTGGCTCCAATATGGTTGAATAGAGCTGTTTGCTTCACGTCTTTGTCCAATTTGACTCTAAAAAGAGACTCAGTAGAGCTGAAATATTCGTCTGTTTGCACAATAAGAAGCTGCGAATGAAGAAAGAGATCCAAGTCAAGTTTTCAGAGAATTCGCTGAGACTTCTCCTGATTCAGCTGCTTTGTTTTTGATGCACCGAGAATCCTGTTTGCATGAACACAAATGAACCCAAAGTCTGTGTTTCCATCTTGTCTCTCTTCTGTGTGTTTCCAGTCAGGATCGGGAAGCTGAAGAGGAGGAAACAGGAGGACGGACAGGTACGAAGGGATTTGTTTCTCTGACATTTCTACTGTAATCGGAGATGAACAATGCGACTGCTCGTTGACTGGTTTTGTTCACGGAGCATCAGGATCGCTGTCAGCTTCCTGTGTGTCCATGTGGAAAAAAAACCCACAACAACCCAGCATCAGATGAGCAGCTTCAGGCTTCGGCTCACAGCTTGTGTTTTCTGTTAGGAATCCTCGGCCGACCTGGTGCCGCTGGAGGACGAGTGGAACGAGAGGAGGAGGATCCAGATGACGTCTTTAGGCTTCAAAGGTGAGCGCCGGTGCAGGATGTGGCCCAGCGGAGGGTGAATGATGCGACTGAGTGGCAGCTGAGGAAGCGCTGAACTTTTCAGTCCAGATTACAGCCGAGCAGGAAGCCCCGGAGGTCAGATTAAACGCTTCCCGTAGCCGAGGAGAAGCTCTGACCTGCAAACCGGGTTCTCTCTGACTGACGGGAGACGCAGGGAGCTGGAAAGATGATGAGATTTATTTATTTTTGACCTTAGAAATAAGGTGAGGCGAGGAAAGTTTATTTGTAAAGCGCATTTCGGCAGCACGACATTTCAGAGCGCTGGACGTAAAACATGAAACGCATCGAGACAAAGTGTTAAAGAAACAGAAAGCATTAGATTATTATACAATTAAAAAGGTGACATAAAGCAGGAAGTTACAGTTATAATATATTGTCTTTGCTTTGCTCTTTTTTTTTCTTCTTCTTATCACTGAGTAGTTTAAAAAAAACAGGCTTTCTGTTGAGGCTGCACAATATTAGAACCCAAAATATGTAGTTTTTCTACAATATATACTGAAAAAAATACAGAAATTTGCACCACATGACTCCAATAACTACTTGGAAAGAATGATTTGCTCTTGAATTATTTAACAGATTTTTTTAGGGAAGTGCATCTGCATGAAAGATTAATTTAATCAATTAATTTTTAAAAATCTTTGCACCGTGCAGATGATTCAAATGGTCACACTGATTAATTGTGTTGCTCGTGTTTTGTTGTCGACATCCTCGTTCCCTGTAGCTGAAATATTTCAGATATTGCATTTCTTTTTGCACTCAGATCTTCCTTCTGTAGCGTTTTTCTGTGAACACGTGCAGCCTGAATGTGGATAAACTCACCGTCCTGTGAATAAAATTTAAATAAAAGCCTAAATTATGTTCCAACAAACAGACTTCTCTTGCTGGAAAATGAGAACGCTGCAGGTTTTTTTTATTGTAGCACGACATGTTTGAGTTCATTTGCTTTACTGAACGTTCTGCGATCACAACGTTGAACCGATGCATCGTTCAGACCCGGTCTTCATATTAAATGTCTCCTCAGGTGCCATGCTGGTGAGCACGACCTCTAAGGAGTGCCGAGACAGCGACGCAGACCTGGACGTGGACGGAGACGACACTCTGGAGTACGGCCGGGCGCAGTATCCTTAAAGACGAGAAGTCAAGTTTATTAATTCAAGAAAGCTTAAGCTGGCAGATAATCCAAAAGGTCTTTAACTTGGAGGAAGTTTAAACGCCTGTAGTTTTAGCAAATGAACACATTTCTCAGACGACTTGGATCGATCTGCTGCCTGCTGTTGGTTTTTCCTGACTTGACTTCACAGATACACAGAGACGGATGTGATTCCCTGTTCAGGAGAAAGTTCAAAGGAGACGACAGTCAAGTACGTAAGAAAACCAAAACACATCCAGTAGTCAGCTGGATATAAAAACGCTTTTCTTATTTCCTGTCACTGTTTCTGGCTTTTAAATGTGTGATTTGATGGTTTCCTCCAGCAGCAGCAGCAGCAGCAGCTTGTTACCTGATTCCAGAGTAAATCCAGATTTCTCCAAGTGGTCAAACGATGGTGAGTTCAGCAGGAAAGCAAAGAGGTTCCTCATAATGATTGTGAAGGTTTTGGTTTGTGTAATTGTTTATCTGTTTGTTTGTTTGTTTGTTTACTCAGGGAGTCCGTCCACCAGCAGCGGAGAGAAGCAGGACGGCAGCTCAGCCGGACTCCCCAAAACCTGCAAGAACACCGACATAGACTCGTAAGTTAGTGTTTCAGTATTAATTAAAAGATTTATTTACAGATTACAGCAACTAAAAAGGCTGTAAAACTTAAAAAATAAAAGTAGGAAGCTTTGCTCTAATTAATAGTAATCTTTCTGTACGATGGATGAATTATTTTCTGTTTCTTTTCAGAGGGAACCTCTCGAGCATCTGATTGTTTTGCATAAAAAAATCTCACCTTGTAAAAGCAAAACAGTCGTATTTTCTCATCAAACGGTTCAAAATGTTGACATTTTTTTATGCGTTTGGGTTTCTGCATCTCAAACAATTCAACAAACTGGTAAAATCCAAACTAAAATCCTTTCTTATCAGATTTATGCCTTTTTAAAAACTCCAACAAACTCCAGCTGCTGAGATTTTACATTAAAGTTTTGCATCAAAGTTTTAGGTTGATGGAGGAAAGATGAGGAGTGTTTATTTTCCCAGCATGCATCTGGACAACAGAGCATCAAAGCATCAGCCAATCAGAGCTCAGGAAGTGTAACCATCACAGGTGTAGCCGGCAAAATGAAACCTCCACCAAACTGTACTCAGGTATAAGAGGCCATAAAGGAAGCCCAGGACGAGTCATAACCCAGAATAAACAGTGTTCTGGTTCATATTCAACCCTTAAACCTGTATTTCAGTGTCAAAGGTTTCCTGAATCAGCACAAGTTTAAAATTAACTGCAACATAGAAGATCAGCATCACGTCTGGAGGCAACAAAAACACACAAAGGTTTCTTTTAAGCTGTTTCACTATGAGGAGGACCACTGCTTATTATCTGATCACATCAGGGTTGTTGGTAAAATGATGCTGCCTCATAATTATAGTAGAAATATGAAAATCTATTCACAGGTTTTGTGCCTCAAAAAGGTTTTTTTTTTCTTTACCAAGTTTCTGAAAGTTTCTGTAGCGGCTGACGTTATAAAAAAAATCACAATGCTGTCGAACAGAACTGACAGAAGATTAAACTTTCTAGAATATGGACGTCTGTGAGCAGAATATTGAGTCCTGTGATGATTCAAATAACTTTTGGATGAAGCACCGCAATTAAACCGAAGCAAAACTAAAGCATCGTGTAAATAATCAGAACATTTTGTGGCAAATTGTGTTTTAATCTAGTTTAATCTGTTTGAATCTGTGCAGTTTTACAGTTGAGTTTGAGATTAAATATCAGATTATTGTCAAAGAAAACTGAAGCAGTTTGTCGGTTAACTTTTAGAAGGTGGTGAGTCTTGTTGCGATGATATTTATTTGTCTTTTTGATAAATTCAGAGAGCGATTATTTGTACAAATCACATCCTTTGTTCTGCTCATTGTGCATCAGTTTGCATTTGAGTGATTAAAACTGTGTATTGAACCAACACCTTATGGTTAAATAGTGTGAGTGTCTGAATGTGGGGGTGTAATCTGGACTCGGGAGGTACAGTCGTCCTCAAATGTATTCGTTCCATTAAAGAAAAGGCAAAATTCACACTCAAATAACGAGAAACTGAAAAAAGTAATAATAAATAAAAATTTGCTAAATTATACTTTAGTGAAATAAGACATTGTTTTTGAATTGCGGTTGAAAAGAATAATTTTTAAAAAAACTAAAAATGTCCCAGACAAATGAGAGCACTGTGCTGATGAGCAGTGGAACCAGAATACCTGTCAACAGGTGCACACGTCTGACTGAGAGTTACAGGAAACATCTGATTGGCTTAAAGGTTGTTCAACTAAATACGGGTCCCATCATACTAGTTTATTTTATTTTGTTTTATTTTATTTTTATGTTGAACCACAATTTAAAATCAACGTCATGATTTTCATTACATGTTTATTTATTATTACTTTTGTCAACTTATTCCACTGACAGCTGTTTGTTTTCCTTCTTTAATGGGAGGGTGTGAATACATTAGAGGATCAGCCTAAATAATCCCTCTGGGTAATAACTGGAATATTTTCTGGGTATCAAACAGGTGAGCTTTGTGTAATCTGAGTGTATTTATTCCCGTGTTTAGTTTAAACTCCCTGCTTCGCCTGAAGCTCTCCGTCAGGGTCACTGCCGGCGTCTTCATCCACACTTAATGTCCGTTTGCACATCTGTACTTATGTGTGTGTGTGTGTGTCTATCTCTGTGAGGACCTGACACCCTCCTCCTCCTCCTCTTCCTCTTCCTCCTCCTCCTCCTCCTCCTCCACCGATGATAAATGAGACGGCGAATGTGGCCGATGTGATTGCTGCTAAATTTCATGCTCAGTGTCCGTGTTGGCCAGCGAATAATTTAATCTGTCTTCGATTTATAAATGACTCTCGGCGTGTGGGCGCCTCTCGCGCCTCTCCCCCCTCTCCCCCGTGTGTGTGTGTGTGTGTGTGTGTGTGTGTGTGTGTGTGTGCGCGTCCAGGCTCTCGGAGGACTCCACGCCGACGACGCTGGATGCACTTAAAGCTCGGATACGAGATTTGGAGAAACAGCTGTCTAAAGGAGACAGATTTAAATGCCTCATCTGCATGGTGAGTGTGAAATCAAATCAGCCGAGCAGAGAGACGCACAACAGAGACGCACAAACTGTTACCGCTCATGCTCTGGATAATAAATCTGCTTTACTGGTCACAAACTTTCAGCAGAATATAAATATAATATTCACTGTTTATGATGATATCCTGATCTTCATGTTTATATGTTCATCTGCTGCTTTTTTCTCTCTAATATATAAACATCTGAGGATTTAGTTCAACCAAACGGTAATGATTAAAACAACTATCAAGTCAAATCAAATTTATTTATGTTGCACAGTTTAAAAAATGTACAAAAACCCTGCACATGTTGTCAGACGAGCAAAATGATGTGCAAAACATCAAGACGGGATGAAATTAGTGAAATTTAAAGCAAAATAAAATAGATTAAAATGCTAAATCAGGCAAAATCTTTTTCTTTTATTGTAAATATTCCATAAATATGATCTATTAAAACCATTCAGAGCAGCAAAAAGCCATTAAAAACATGTACATCTTGTTTTTTTTAAATTTATTTCTTTAGATATCAATCGATTAGGAACATTTGATTGGAGGAGGAAAGTGCTGCAAACTATTTCTGTGTAGTTCTGTAATATTTAGTCAGCTAATTATTTACTCGACCTGCAGAAAATGAATCGACAGCATTTAAAAAGTTAATTATTTAATCATTTATTAAGCAAAGCTGCCTCACATTTGATGAGTCCAGCCTCTCAGACGTGACAATTTGCTGCTTTTCTTCTTTTTATAAGATTTTTTTTTGGATGATTAATTGAGCAAAATCAACAGATTTGTAAAGTTCTTCAAAATAATAATAAAAACGGATGATTTTCTCTTTTTTTTTTTCATATTTCATAGAGCAAATGATGAACTGATGCATGATTTTAAAATAATCAACACTCGTCACTTGATGCTCATCTCTCTCATGTCGGCTGTGATACCTGTTGTGCTTCTTGAACTATCGGCCCTAAAATGCACCAAAAAGCCAAATCACACATTGAGAATGTCTCTGTGAAGAAGAAGAAGCTGTTTCCAACTCAATCTGTGCACAAATAAATCCACCAACTGATGCTACATTTGTCTAAACTAGGCAAGAACCAGATGTGTTACTGTGATGGACTCTGCATTAATCTGACTCACATAAAGAGCTGCTGAAATAATAAAACTACTACAGTCTGGTGTGAAAACAGACTAAACAGCTGAAGCTTCCCGCTGCTGAAAAGGCTTCAAAGAAGTTGATTTAATAAAAGCGTCTCCTGCTGTTAATGCTCCAGTCGTAGCTGTATGTGGACATCTAGTGGCAGCCGGCGGTACTGCAGGTAGGAGCTCACCTGTGTTTCTTGTGCTTGCAGGACACCTACACGACTCCGCTCACCTCCATCCAGTGCTGGCACGTCCACTGCGAGGAGTGTTGGCTTCGGACGCTGGTAAATAGTCTGATTCAAAAACGGGCATTAAAAACGACGTGAAAAAGGTTCTGATACACGGTCTGGATTTTTTTTTTTTGCTTTTCCAGGGAGCCAAGAAGTTGTGTCCCCAGTGCAACACCATCACCTCACCTGGAGACCTGAGGCGGGTTTACCTGTGACTCGGCTTTAGCCAAACCGGGGAGTGGATGTGCGGGCAGCTGGTCTGCCGTGCACCTCCCTCACCTTGGTCCTCACACCTTCTGCTTCCTCCTGGTCCTCCTCCTCCTCCTCCTCCTGCCTGTACAGAACCCGGCCTCCTGCTGCACTATCAGCCGGATCAGAGGAAACTCAGAGCTCAGGCACACAAGCAGAGGGACACGCTTTGGGACTATATTTATCGGTTTTCTAATCCTTTTTTTTGTCTGTTTTATGGGGGGAAAATAGTGGAATTTAAACTGAACTGCAAAGCACATGTACATAGTTTTGTGTGTGTGTATGTTTGGAGTGCTGTGTGTGTGTGTGTGTGTGTGTGTGTGTGTGTGTGTGACGTTGACTAGCAGGACAGGCCGACTGTACAGAGTTCGTCTTTACTTAGATCATGAATTATTCGTTTAGCTCTCGTAGGTTGGAAACATTCACAGTAATCACACATTTTTTTTGTCTCCGTCATTGACGTGTTTCTTTGTATAGGAGCATTAAATCTAATTTTATCAGCGTTACTACAATAAATAAAAAAAAACGTGTGTCTGAAGGCTGTGGCGTCTGTGAATTACCACCTGTGGGCTCTGTTGTGACGACTCTACGTGGTGCGTTTGCCCTTTAAGAAGTGGGTCGCTGCGGGATTAGGCCGGCCGAGCCCATCGCACGGAGTTGAAACACACTAAACCCTGCTATTCTGAGCGCTTAAACTCCGACCCTGATGCTGGAACCACGCAGAGAAACAGCAACTATGTGCAGTTTATTAAAGTTATTCGCAGGATAATGTGAACTAAAGTTGCTCTGTGATGAAGTTTTTTCGTGCTGGTGTTGAAACAAACACAGCAGAGCGATTCTAGTACTTCTGTGCCCTCAAGCAAGGCGTCAAACCTCCTAAATGTCTTGAGTTTGCTGCTCAATGGACTCTAGGTTCTCCAGCTCAGTAAAGTAGTGAAACTTCCATGCAGGTTTTCTTTAACTTGTCCTAATCACACCAGTAAACATTGCTAATATTTACATACATCCCCTCTTCCCCCTTCTTGCAAAAAACCCAAACCCAGGTGAGAGTCTGGTGCTCTAAACATAAATAAATCCATCATTAGTTTATGGAAATCACTTCTTCTCGCGGCCTGTTGGAGTCGTGACCCGTGCGGACCAGGCGGTTAAAAACAAAGCCGGCGTGCGGCCGTGTGATTGGTCGGCGGGGGGCTGAGAGGAGGTGGAGGTAATTCAGAGCGACAGTGAATCAGTGGGACGCAAACACTGTCATCGAGTCCATTAAGAAGCTCGGCAGAAGAATCATCTGTTACCGAACGTCTCTGCGGCTCACAGGCGGCGGCACTGAAGGTAAGCTGGAATATTTACTGGAAAATCTGAGCTGTTTGTTCATAAAAGTCCAGCTGCACATCCACTAAGAGGCAGGTTTGGTTTTGTTTTCATGCAGGATTCATTTGCATTTGCTGCTCAGATGCTTTGTTTCTGCACCTGCACCGGCTGATCTGTATAAAAAACTAAAGAGATGAATATTAATCAGCTGAGATTTTATGATGCTATTAAAACCAATATCCTGATAAACTGTTATATTACCTGCTTGGGATTTACCTGATTGGATCCTTTCATAGTTTTATTATTGATGTTACATGAGTGGGTTTTTGGTGTTGATGCATTTACATGTGAGCAACTTTAAAAAGGCTAAAAATCTGATTATTGATTCTGTAACAAACAGATTCATACCTGTAGCTGTCAGATAGGTGTAGGGGAGTAAAAAAACCACAACATTTGCATCATAAATGAGAAGTAAAGTCGAGTAAATGTTCCAGTTAAAGTGTGTAATAATCACAGTGAGTTGAGTAAGTTGTTATGTGAGCGCTGTGCTGTTTGGTAATTGTGTTAATGAGGAACCTAAATGAATTAATGAAACCTTCTCAGCAGGTAAATGGGTCACCTGTCCTGGCCCACATCCAATTAATCCCTCCGACTGACCCGTCACGACTTCATTAACGGCCGTTCTTAACCTGCGGCCTGCGGCTGTCCAGCCGGCCGGCAATTAGGACGCCTTTTAAAATTAAAGGACAGAAAACTCTCAGTGTCAATTAATTATTAGTGGACTAGATTAGAAAAAAGCACAATAATATGAGAGCAGAGGCCCGGTTCAGCCCTCCGGAGGCCGGCTGGGATGTTTCCTGCGCAGTGTAAAGAGGAGCTGGGATCAGAGGATTAGTCTTAGACCGGTTAATAGGATAGACGGCAGCTCTGCCAGCGCCGGGGAGCGATTCATAGGAAGAAATGGATCGAAGACACCTGATGGACGCCACAGCTCAGCGTTTAGGAGCCATGCTGCTCAAAAAGTATGATGATGGGACTCAACTTGATCTGATTTTAATCTGATTCTGGGAACATTTAAGTCACATTAGCCACAAGTTCTAATAATGTTCCAGAGAAAACAATAATCAGAGTGTTTTACCTACAGGTCTCAGTTTAAATAAAGCTCCTATGAGGTTAAAAGTTCACTAAATAATAGAACAATAAAACCAATAATCCAAGCACATCCATTTATGCTTATTAGTTCTGCTTTTAGACTGTCTTACAAACATTTTTTTACTGTAAATATCAACAATTTTGTGCCTCTTTTTCTGCATACGTCAAACAATTTGCATCTTTACTGTAAATATCAGCAATTTAGGCACGATTTGCACGTTTCGTTGCTCGTTGGTTTTCTTGTGGATACCTTGAATTTCCCTAAATATCCAAAATCTATCTGAAATAGAACGTTTTAATTGGAACATTCAGAGGATGAGATGAAAGAAAAGGAAGAACGTCCTCAAACCAACATTCAAAAAATGTTTTCGGGATGTTCTCGAGGCCTCAGAAGACAGAACGTTCCTGCAATGCGACATAAAAAAAACAAATGTACGCAATACTCTGAGGATGTTATTGAGGGAACACATTGTTCCACAAAATGTTCCCACAATGTTTCATAATGAGCAACATTTAGAAAAAAATTGAAGAGGAACGTTTTTATAAAGGCCTTAGAGAACTTTATCCTGCTTTCAGAGGAACATGGGACTCGTCTTGGTGTTTCAGTGCCTAACAGCAACATGTAGATTTAGAAAGTGTTCCAGGTCAGTGTTCAGTAGAACCCACAGAGAACCATCACCAGAACCCTGCAGACCTTTGACCTCTCTCTGTCCCCGTGTCCAGAAGGAAGCATGTCAGGACCGAGGCCCGTGGTGCTGAGCGGCCCCTCCGGCGCCGGGAAGAGCACCCTGATGAAGAGGCTGATGAAGGAGCACGAAGGCATCTTCGGCTTCAGCGTGTCACGTAGGTTTCTGTGCCAGGCAGCAGCCGATTAACTTCCGGCACGACGTCCCGTCTGACCAGGAAGTAGGACGACTTTGGCACGGGGCGGCAGCGGGTTTGTCGTGCCGCTCCAGTAAATCTCGTAAAGCCGAGACCTGCTGCATCTCTGTTCCACATGACTTCGTTACTCCTGCCTGGTTTTTAATGACTGAAATCCTCTCGTTGCAGATACGACGAGGAACCCTCGGCCGGGGGAGGAAGACGGCAAAGGTAGAAGCTCAGCGCTGACTGTTTTAGCTTCTGCACAAGTGGGGCAGCAGCTTTGGAGCTTTTTTATTTTAGATTTTAACCCACAGAATTGCCATAAAAGTGCATTTTGTAAAGCAGGAAACTTCTCTGCTTTCTGTCTCCACCCCTGGTTTCCCCGACCTGCTCAGTCCAGACACTTCTTACTCCCAAGTGAACTGCACAGCTGGTTTTTGTCCCCCTGTTTAGCTCCCTTCATACACAAAGGGATAAACCTCTTGTTGTCCCTTTTTTTTTTCCCCTCCATAGGGCTGAACAAGCTCCCCATGCTTCTGGGGGCTACTTTACTGCCCGTAGCAGACGTCTTATCCTCTGAAGACTTAGAAATGTCCACCTCATTTTCGTGCCCAAACGAATCAGAACCCACAGACGAAGGTGACCTCAGTGTGATTCCTGAGTATTTTTTCTTTTTTTTTTTTTAGAGGGATGGGGGTTACTTTCATCATCCTGGCATTGAATTTTCGTAGGAAGCTAATCATGTGACAAAACAATACAAAGAAAAACAAACAAAAAATGAGACTAAAAAGCACAAAGATTTCAGGAATCGAGATCTGACAGTTTACACTTTGGAGTAAAAAGCTTTTGAAAATAGCCCCCTGTGATGCCTCGCTAGCGATTCCCTTCTCTGGTCCCGACTTCTTCCTTTTTCTTTTTACACATTCAAACCTCTTTTCTTCTCGTGGCTGTTTTTTTTTTTTGTTGCATCCAACCATTAGCGACACGGGAGGAAGATTTAACAAGTGCAGCTTTTCTTTCGTTTGTTGTGGCATTCACAGGATCCTTTAGGGACGCTGCAGCCGCGTTCCTTTAATTAAATGCTGAATATATTCTTCACTGATCCAAAATGTGTCCCGTCATTTGAGTAAAAACGAGAAGAAATTGCGCTCACTTTGGGCCGTAACGAGGTTCCGAGTTTGCACAGAAACATTTCATCTGCTGCGGTTTTGTCCTGAGTGCCGTTTAAAACCCATCCAGGCCCTATTTTCCGGCTTATTATCTATTTGTTTACAGTCACTTTCTGTCCAACGTTCGCCTTCAAATTGTGAGTTCAGTGCAGCCGGCTCCTTCATGTTGTCATGCTAATGATTGTATGCTATCACAGTGGCCATTAGCGCTAGTGCTAGTAACGTGTTTGGCTTCTGAAACTGTTTTTAGATCCCCCAGAAGGTTTTTGATGTTTGGAAGGTTTGGGCCTATGGATCGGGTATGGGCAACATAATGTGCTCTGCTAATGACATCCATAAAAAAAACACACAACATGCCTTCTCACAGAAAACCATTTCTAATCTTTGCATGTGCTTCCCAAACACAAAGACTGCATTCTTCTTTAGCAGCACAGGGTTTAGATTGTGGTGCTTTGTGTGTGGATTTGCTGCAATCAGAGTTGTGATCACAGTTTAAAACCAAACTGGAGGAAGCTGTCCACTGATTTGTGTTGCTTTTATGGTTTTCCTGTCGGAGCTAGATTCATTCTAAACGTTGCTTCCTGCAGATTACCACTTCACAACGAGAGAGGCCATGCAGGAGGGCATCGACAACGGAGAGTTCATCGAGAACGCCGAGTTTTCTGGCAACTTTTATGGAACAAGGTAAAAAAAAAAACCATTAAAAAAAAATTATATGCATGCATTTGTCGATTAACTCAAATTTATTTCTTAAATCTTCTTGATTAGCTTTAACAAACTTCCCTAGAGAGCATTTGAAGGTTTTAATTTAAACTTTCAGTTGCCTAAATGCCATTTTTTGAAGCTTCTGCAGCCGTAAACCAGAAGAGCATCATCGTGGTTGAACTTAATTCAATAAAGCTGCTGCCTCGTGCCCTCGGGCCGCACAACACGGATCAGGAGGATAAATATAATAGTCTGGTGACAGATGGAGCTTTAACCTCTATTAGGTCAAAAAGAGCAGCAGTACAGCTCAGCACCTTGTGTGTCACGTTTAATCTCTGCCTCTTATTCTGAAGATAACGCTCACTACAGCTCGGATCAATGCAGAGATCCTCTTACCTCAGTCAGTACATGTGAGAAGCACAAAGTTGCACGATTACACATCCAGAACCACCGTCCATCTTTTTTCTTTTTTCAGCAAAGCCGCCATAGAGGACGTACAAGCCCAGAACCTGATCTGCATCCTGGACGTGGACATCCAGGGGGTGAGGAGGATCAAAGAGACCGACCTGAACCCCATCTACATCTCCATCCAGCCCCCATCCATGGAGATCCTGGTGAATGTCTCACACGATAGAAATCACTGTTGTTTACAGCTTTGTTTCCCCCCAAAACGCAGTTAAATAGAGTAAAAATCTCATGTTGTTTTGGAGCCAGAAACAAGAATCAAGAGTTCACAAAGCACAGTTTACACCAGTGGCTTAACGTTAGCACACTGTCAAAAAATAATTAATTAAAAACTGAAAAAACAACCCAAAGCAAAACAAAAAACATCAAATATCTATTAAAAAAGTTACGATTTTTGCAGATTTAAATGCAGAAAACAATGGTAATGGTTGCACATTGTAAAAAAAAAATTAATTACTAATGATAAATACAGATTTTTTATATGGACATTATTTATAATTTTGGTTAAATTGCACATAATATCTAAAAACAGGCCAAACAGAGACGATCTGTTAAATAAAACTAATAAAATAACATTTAAATAAATTATTTACCATTTAAGAAATCCTTAATATACTTATTTTTTTAACATCAAATAATGGAAAATATTTGTAAAATAATTATATATTTTTTCCTGCTTTAAATATGATAAAAAATAATATATTTTTATGGCATATGGCTGCAATTCACAGTAGTGAGGAAAACGTTATAATTTAAACCAAAGTGAAATGGATTATTGATTACAGCAGCAACACTATATAAATACTGTACATTATAGGAAAGTCCAGTTATAGTATTAAACAAAAGAGCTCATTTATTACTACAGAATGCTTTTATCAATACAAGGAAATGGTTTTTTAATTAAATTAAAATTGTAATAAATTAATCTGTACATTTTGCGGGAAAAAATTGCTGCAATTTTTCTGTTTCCACACTTTTCAGATTTTTTTTTATTGATTAACCTCAGTTTGTGCTTGTGCAAATGTGCTAATTAATGATATTTATAATTTAGCTTTTTGCTCTGTTCTTCCTGTATTAAATAGCAGCAGTGATGCTTTTATTATGCAGCAGCTCTTCTTTTTTTTATTCCATGAGGCAGATGACAAGTATAACAAAGGCAATGTCTTTTTTTTTTTTTCTTCAGGAAAAGCGTCTGAGGGACCGACAGACGGAGACAGAGGAGAGTTTACAGAAGCGTCTGGAGGCGGCTCGCATCGACATGGAGCTCAGTAAGTACCTCTGCTGCGACATGACGCTGAAACAAAGACGAACCACTTCAGCTGATTAAATCCTGATCTGCAGGCAAGGAGCCCGGAGTGTTCGACGTTGTTATCATCAACGATGACTTAGAGAGGGCTTACGAGGAGCTGAAAGAAATCCTCAATGAAGTGAGTAAAACGCTGCTGACAAACACTCCAGACAAACACAGCTGTTGGAAATATTCACCACGTCTCTCTCTTTCTCTGTCTGAAGGAAATCCAAAAAGTTCAGGAGGCCAAATCATAGGAGGAAGAGAAGACTTTCTGCTGCTGGACAGAAGAGCCGAAAGATTCTGATCTGAACCAACGTCGTCACTGACTGAGAAACACACCAGAAATAAACCGACCTTCTGGAGAAAAGCTCGTTTTTTTCCTTTTCACCTCCTGCTTCTTACGGTCAGAGGTTTGCTCGGTACAGTTCTGAAGCACAGATAGGAGCGAGGGGACCGTTTTTGTTCTTTGAACGAGGGTTTGTGTTAGATTTAGTAAAAAAATCGACATGTAGGAGCGATACGTTTAAACCAAACATTTGTGCCGGTTTTGCTCAGCTGGTGTTTCAATCTGCCAAATCCAGCTGCATTTGGACTTTAGAAGCTCAAGTTTGGAGCTGAATGAAAGAGGAACAGCACAAAATAGGTAGAAACTGTTGTATTCAGTGTTTAGTTAAATTCTATTTGTTAGCATAAAGTACACTGATTTATATGTAGGATGAAATCTGTGTGTTTAAAAATGGGCTGCATGAGACCCAAAGATCACACGAAGGATGTCTGAGATAAACTCATGTCATATATTCAGTTTGTTATGTTGTTTATGCACGTTTGTACACAAATGAGACAGAATAAAGAGCGACTGAACACTTCTTTGTCTTTTAATAAATATGTCATTCACAAGGTCGGTCGGTTCTGCATCTCACTGATATGAAACTCTGAAGCGTCTAATAAAACCTACAAGCTTAATCCCATTTATACAATCTGAAGGCACTTCATGTAAAGTCTGAAATAAAAATGCTCATCTATGGGTGGCAGAGCAGAACACAGTCTGACTTTAAGGCCAAACGCGTAAAATAAAAGCTTCTAACGTCAGAACTTTAGGATTCATGCTTAGACAAAGATTTATCCCTGATGTGTTTCCGTATGAAGCACAAAAACGATGCACACTCTGGAGCTAACGTCTACGTACACTTTAAAACTCATTAAGACGCATCACAGCTTTAAAAATCAGGGTTCACCAACAAATGTTTTATAAATCTGACCTGACAGAAAACACACACAGCGGACATGTTGGGTCCTTCTATGAAACATCAACCAAATCAGTTCATTGTTTATGTACAATAACTTCAGTATGTTTAATGAAACCATGCAAAGTTTTATTTATATACTCTGAATATTTTCAGAGTTACAGGCTCTTAAAATACACAGAAGTAGGTTGAAATTTCACACTTTTAAATTGACTTTTTCCATCATTTCTGAGTCTCATCAGTGCAGCAGATAAACACGTGACGTTTTTGGATGCACAACACATTTACGTTCTGTTAAAAACCGACACCAAACCACTTTTACATCCATCCAGGTGTCACAATCTCAAGAGTAAATCTGATTTTTGGTAGTTTTTTTATAACTTTCACAGCAACAATCATCAGTACTCTGGATGTGTTTCTGTTTTCTGATCATTCACCACAGAAAACTTTAAAAAGTGCATTTTGAACAAACTCTGTGTGACAGGTGGTCGGTAGGAACATGGAATATTCTCATTTTTAGCTAAAGTTTACCAGGTTCATATGATTCCTTCTATGTTAAAACAGAAACACGACAGTAAAAGTTTGCATGGTTTCATTATATATATATTAAAGTTACGGTAGATAAAATCAGATGATTTCTGAGGGCTCAGGTTGGAGGCGCTGATTCGTTTTGAACGGACGGACCCTGTCGTAAAGCTGCATGTTATTTAGAAAAGATCCGTTTACTGGAAGAAGGGACCCTGGACTTTGATGCGCACCTGGTCTCGTTTCTCCTCCTTCTGCTTGAGGTAAGCTTTCAGTTTGTCCGTGGAGAAACACACTTTGGAGTGTCGGGCTTTGTGTGGGGCTCGGTGGGCTCGCAGCCAGGGGTTCTGGAGACACTCGGCCGCCGTCGGTCTGCCCCTGCACGGATTCAACACGTCAGAACAAAATTAGACTGTTTCACTGATACAGCTTCTCATGGCAGTAATCTCTGGTGCGGTTTTAGGAAAGACACTCACCAGGATTTGTTGTTCAGGCTGTTCTTCATGAAGGTTAAAGCTCCCTCAGACAGACCCGGGTAACAGCGGCCAAACTGGATCTTCCCCTTCTTGATGTTTTTGTCCTGCTCCCAGCTGTGCTCTGCGTGAAACGGGCTGTCGGCGCTCAGCCTAGTCAATAAAGAAAGAAAAAACTCATGTATTCAATAAATATGCACATTAATAAATAGGTTCAAGATAATCTTTATTATCCTTGAGGGGCAACTTGTCCTACAATCAGTAATTTACCACGGCGGCACGCAATTACACCACACTCTAAAACTACACAATAGGCTAAAAAAATACAGTGAAATAAAATAATATTAAATTAAATTAAACTAAATAAAATAAAATAGATGAAAATATTAATCCACCATAGACAAAAAATGA